TTTGTGAGCCACACAGTCTCTGTCCCAATTCTTTAACTCTACCATTAGAGCACTAAAGTGTGCCATATTCCAATAAAACTATTTGTAAAAATACATAGTGGGATGGATTTGACCTGAGAGCCATAGTTGCTGGCCACTGCATTGGAGACTTCATGTACATTATTTCAATTAATGCTACTAACAACTTTTTGAGAAAAAAAAGAGTATATTATTTGTCCAAAGCCACAGAACTTAATAGTGATGAAATCTTAGGTCAGCTTAATGTCACAGAAAAGAAAGAAGAGAAAGTGAGACTCATAATACTTGTGGATTATGTTTTTGTTATCCCTTTGTGTGCAAGATAATAAAATTTGTTCAAGTTCCTATAGATAGTATTTAAACTTACTTTTTACTGCCTAAAGATCTTAAGTCCCTAACTATTGCTGCATGCAGATTTTATTGAATTAAAATTTCTTACTCCTGAATTTTCTATTTCAGAAACTGTTGATCTATGGAAACTTTCATAACAATTAAATATTCAATTTATCTCCTACTGTTCTTCCTTTTGGTCCTGTTAATACAAAATACCAAACAAATTAATGATTTAATGATCCCAGGAAAGTAGGTCTCCAATATATCTTGCTTAACTTTTGAGCTTATACAAAATGGAGCCATATTATACAGACTTTGGAAATATGAAAAAGCATGAAGAAAAAACATACATTTCATTACTCTTATACATAGGGGCAGAGATGTTATATTTGTGAGATCAGATTCTAGAGGAAGGGTACAGATTTTAAAAATTGTATTTGTATATCTATGCCATTGAAATAAAAGACTACAGTTATAGATACTGAATAATAAAGCTGAACAGTATCAAAATAAAATTTCTACTAAACATATAACTATAGATTGCACTCTTGGGTTATATCAACATGACATCTGTCAATATATGAAAGTGAAAAGATGTGTTGGAGTTAACAGCTCAGTAATCCAATATAGAAAACAATAATTCTGGTAAGGCCCTGAAAGTTCTAACTTTGAGTCAACAATCTTCTTCTTCTTCTTCTTCTTCTTCTTCTTCTTCTTCTTCTTCTTCTTCTTCTTCTTCTTCTTCTTCTTCTTCTTCTTCTTCTTCTCTCTCCTGCTCCTCCTCCTCCTCCTCTCCTCTCCCTCTTCTTCCTCCTCCTTCCTTCTTCTTCTTCTCCTCCTTCTCCTTCTCCTTCTCCTCTCCTCCTCCTCCTCCTCCTCCTCCTCCTCCTCCTCCTCCCTCTCCTCCCTCCTCCTCCTCCTTCTTCTTCTTCTTCTTCTCTTCTTCTCTTCTTCCTTCTTCTTCTTCTTATTCCTCTTCCTCTTCTTCTTTTTTTTTTTTTTCTGAGAGAGTCTCATTCTGTCACCCAGGCTAGAGTATAGTTGCATGATCATAGCTCACTGCAGCCTCCAACTCCTGAGCTCAAGTGGTCCTCCCACCTCAGTCTCCCAAGTAGCTGGGACTAGAGGGACCACACCACCATGCCCAGCTAGTTTTTTTCATTTTCATTAGATATGGGGTCTCACTATATTGCCTAGGCTGGTTTCAAACTTCTGGCCTCAAGTGATCCTCCTGCTTCAGCCTCTAAAGTATGAGTCATCAAACATTTTAAACTGTTGGGCCTGAATCTTTGCCCTATTACTATATATGGCACTTTGAACAATTTACTCTTTCCCTTCTTTCCTAATCTGTGAAAGAGGAATGACTACAGATTGTAAAGTTCAAATGCTATTATAATAACAATCTCAGCTGAATCTATTAATTTCATAATTTTCTAGCTATATTAAAGAAACTTAATTGTTTCTGTTCTTCTACCAGTTTGATTTTGGCTAAAGGCCATGGTACATTAATCACTAATGGCATATGGTAACCAACAGGTGTGATAACAAAAATTCACATCCTGTGCTCAAGTCTTTGGAGCAAAGCATTATAAACAGAATAGATAGCTTTATCAGTAAAAAATGAGATATTGACACATGAGCATAGCACTACTACCTAGTTGGGAGTATGAAGGGGATGAATGTTCCCCCCAGGAGGAATAGAATTGTGAATAGAGATACTATACTATATTCTTTAGCAACCAGTGAAAGACTGAATTAAGAGTGAAGCCCGTGGTCAGGACAGGCTTCCTGACCCGGGCTTTTTTAAGGGTCAGGAAGACCCTTAAAAACATTTTTAATTTAATAAGGTTACCAAGGTTATAGAAGAACTAATGGTATATAGACTGTCCTAGGCAGCCACAGATAACTGAATATATATATCGTCATATTTTATAAATACAACATACAATCAAATAAATACTTAGGTGTAACGCAATTTTACAATATACTCATATAAGTCAGAATACCTTGATCTCACATTTTCTAGATAATACAGTATAAAATACAACATAGTTCAAGGTCACTAGTTTGTAATCCTGACATTGCTATTAATTATGTGATTTTATCCATATGGTTAATTGTGATTAAGTACAAGTATTTTGTCTTAAGTACTGTTAAGTCAGGAAAGTTGATCTAAGTAATACTAATATAATTGTGTGTTTAGTCCATGCTAAGCACTTTACATGCATTTCTCCTTTAATTCTGAAAACAGCTGATATCACATAGGTACTTTAATTATCCCCCTTTTACTGTTGAACAAACTGAGAGTTATACAGTTGAATTTTCTTGCCCAAGGCCACACTGCTACTATGAAAGCACAGGCATTCTGACTGCCAATCCCAAACATGTAACCACCACACTATATCACTTTAAGCAGCTCATTATTTCAGACATGCTGCCACTTTAACAATTTACGTATTCCATGAGAATTTTTGTGGCTATTATTATAGTTATGCAGATAAAAGAAAAAAAAGTTTCTGATCAAAACAATTGAGCAAGCCCCTCTAGGCTGATATTAATGAGTAATGCCAGGTGAGAATAGGTTCACCTTGCCATCATAAGTGGCTGCAACTGAAATTGCATCCCCTATTTAGCAAAATATATGTAATTTAAATATGCCTGAAGAAAACTATTAAAAGGTGAGTTATATACCAGGGGAACATTTTTTTTCCTCTTACTATTACTCTTTTAGCAAACTGTCACACTAAACTTCACCATTCCTCCAAAATATGAAACTAAGCCCTTTTGAGCAATTTCAAACATTTCCACAAATGAATAGACATAGCAATGTGTCATGAAATCTTGCCAATTTACAATGCCTACATTACTTCACAATAACATATTTCTTTATTTAAAAGCTATTTTATTGCCTCTTTACAATTTTCAACATGCATTTCTCTTCCCATTATAAAAAGCAGTAATATGAGGAGAAAGGTGTCAGCTGAAGTGCAGATTGCAAGGGTTCCAATTTTCAGTGAACATAACAAACCACACTGATCACAACTTTGTGTGGGGAAAATCCTTTGTAAAATTATTTTTTGCATGTGTTTAAATATTATTCACAATGGAAAAAAATCTTTTCTATATAAATGCTTTAAGATAATATGGCTGGCTGTTACCATGTGAATGCTTTTTCTTTTAACGTAGCCTTTTATAATCACATATATTCTTTATCCTTTTCCATTTCAGTTCTGTCTTGGTAAAAATGAGCAAAATAGAAAATTCAGTATAATTTTACCATTCACATTAGCATAAGAACAATAGCAAGTGGCTTTGAACCGCTTCTCCATTTGGCATTTCAGCTACTGTTTAGATTAATGGTACAATAGAAGTTGGAATTTTCTGGGCCAGAGTTTAATGGTGCTCAGCACCGCTCCTTTTTGAAAGGACCCATCCACCTGTGGACAAAGCCTCTGTCTGTTACCATGGCCCTGACTAAAGTGACTGATGAGCATGTGATTCTGTTTCAAGTTGCAAAAAGTAAGGACTTACATTCCAGTTAACTACACTGTCTCTTCCTTATACGAATTGTGCCAGCTGAGATAATCAATAACCTATCAGACTGCTGAGAGCCCATTAGCATGTGGTTAACATGCTAGTGTTCACGGCAGTATTCTTCAGTGTGGGAAGTGGCCCTTTGGTATAACACACTTCAATAGTTTAAGCTCAATAATAATAACTCTTGTTTAACAAGATATTAGATTGACTCTTATAAATTAGAAGATTGTTTTCATGATCTATGCAATCTACTCTATTAATAAAAATAGAACTGAAGGCTCTTGGCACAATTCATTTCTCACTTCCACTTACAAGTGGGCTCTAAATATAAGGAATCAGGCTTACCCAATTAATCACAGCACTGAACAACATGTCTACCTGAAGAGAATATAAAACCACTGCTATTGGAAAGTTTAATATAAACCCTAGGGCTCAATTAAAGAGCTTTGAAAACACAGAGATGATTGTCCAGTAACAGCAAAGTATAATCATGTGTTTTCATATCATTTTAAGACAGTATTTCCAGAAAAAAATAATAATTTGTTAAATCATTTGGAAGGGCATTGGGACTTAAACTGCTGTGACATTTTAACACAAAGAAGAAAATGGCAAGAAGAAATAAAAACAGTCCAGTTGTAAATGCTTAAGATCCAAAGATTTTCATTTGCATCCTCTAAGTGACAAGGACAAGGTTTTGCATCTGGTGTCTGTACACTAACAGAATTTTTCACTGTCTACTCCTTAAACACAATTCTGACTGTGCAGCCTTAAGAAAGAACAGCTAAATGAATGAGCAGGATGTGATATTTCATGTACTATTCCCACTTTGGGATTGTCATATTGCATCTGTGGGATTAAATGTTTTAAGAAGTTGTCAAATTTAATTGGCGAGTTTGCACAGTTCTGGTTTACTGGATACATCACACACCAAGATCTTTTTCTTTTATCACTTTATGTTAACTCCATGATTTAAATATTGCCATCTGTGAACAAAGCCTACAGAATTAAGAAAACAGCTTTAGTAAATTAAAATCTTAACTGGTGCATAATTTGAAGATTTCAACATTGTTTATTTGATGTTTGGTGTATTTATCTTTCTTTTCTTATGGTAGGTATCGTACCTGGTACATGTTCAGTACAGCATAAGGCCCTATAAACACTTCAATAGGCTTCAAGACTGTAAGAAAGAAGAGCAAATTCTGTAACATCAACAGACACACAATCCTTTCAAGAATAAGGAAAAATGCTTCAAATGAAATCCCACTTTCTTCTTCACCTAGGAAGACTGCACAGGTGAGACCTAACACTCCATCTCTTTCTCATTCCACTCCCAAAATTTCCATGCACTACCTCACACATGTGGGCTCTTCTATTTTTACATGTGTGGTTTCTCTTTAGGTCTTGTATAAATGTCACATCCAGAAAAGGCACAGAGACCTTCCCAAACAAAATAAATTGGTTCCCTTCACTTATTCTCATTCATCCCCTCAAATATGATTTCCTTCAAGCAATTATCAGAAATAATAACAATATTTTTAAAACTTTATTTCTTTGTACATTGTATACTTATACACAGAATGTGAATTCCATAAGAACAGAGAGAATAATTTTCTTTACTTGTTTTTCTGTCAGCGTAGATTCAGCATTTGGTAGAGCACTGGCAAGTGGTAGTGGAGGTAGTGGTAATAGGAGAAAGATGATGACGAGAAGAAATAAGAAAAGTATTTAATAATATAAGTAATAGCTATAATAGCTAACATTTTCTGTGCCCTTGATGTCACACACTGTGCAAGGGGAATTGCATTATGTTATTAGTTATTAAAACAATCCTTGGAGGTACATGCTACTATTACCTAACTTTGATAGAGGGGACTTGAGGCTTACAGAGGTTAAGTAACTTACACAGGGTCACAAAATTAATAAAGTTGGTGCCAGGATTCAAACCTTGGCCACCCCATATCACAGCCCATGTGAAAGAGCTTGTTTTAAATGAGTGCTTTGATGTGTGAATAAAGGAGTGAAAAAAAAAGGGAGGGAGGGAGAGAGAGGAAGGGAAGGAAGATAAGAAAGGAAGAAAGGAGAATACTGGACTGAGGAGAGTGGAGAAGATTCGTAGCTCAGGTGTGGATCACAGAGAGAGACAACAGAGACATCTGGGGGCCCACAGAGAGAAACTGTGAAGCTGAGGAAGAAGATAGAGAGGAGAAGATAACCATTCAGATCAAATCCAGAGAGGCTTGGAGGCCAGTGAAAGAGTAAGGGGGATTCCCCCACACACCCAGGTGCCCTTGGTGAAAAGTGGGACACAAAGTATATTGAAGATGCTTCCACCCTCCATGAGCCCAGGCATGGCAGCTAATTAGAATAGTGGTGTGAACCAGCAAGCCCCAGGTGTTTGGAGAGTGTCATGAGAGACCAGAGTGACAGCTTTCTTACACCTGGACTCTTTATCCTCAGCACCAGCCCCTCCTCTCCCACAGGCTCAGAGAAAGTAATTTGAGGTTGGACAGACTGGTAGCCACAGCCCCTGAGAGTACTCTGAATCAAAAAGCTCAAGAATGGCTGCTTCTCGGCAGGAAGTGCATGGTCCTTGCTGAACTCACCATAGAGAGTGGGGATGCCACAATTCAGGAACTTCCTTCCTGCCGGCATTTCACTGGATCACATGCCGTGAGCCTACGTGGACTGGTCCTAGTGTCCCTGAACATGAGAGAGGTGCAAGGAGACACAGGGTAGAGGACGTGGTCCTGAACTCAGGTGACAAGGAACTCTCCTGAATATTTCCAATGGGAGGGGTTGTAGGGATGCTGAGGAATGGGGATCTGTGAGCTCGCCCACCCCCCACCCTCGCTGGAGAACTGCCATACTGGATAGGTGTGCAGCACTCAGAGAGAAATGGCCTAGCCCCTGGTTCCCTTGGCAACCAAATGCTTTGGATGTGCCAGCTAAACAGGAGCAGCGGGCCCTTCCCCCACTCATTACAATAGGAAGTACAGCCTGAGCCAAGAATTCACCAGCTGCCACTTCTGTCTGGTGAAAGTGTGCCTCTGGCTGAGGCTTCTGTGGATAGAAAGGTCAACTACTATCCTTTGAGGTCTTGTGATGGAACAGGGGTGAATAATTGGGGAATCCCCTACCTGGCACCATTTCATGGGGATGCACACTAATAGGTCAGATACAGGGATCTGGGGCACATATGACTGCTAGTGGCAGGCAGTGAAGGAACTTACCTGGACTGATCTGATGGTAGTGTTTTTTGGGATTCCAGGGAGTAGCAATTAGAGAGGCCACTCACCACTACCTGCAGAGAAACTGTGCAGGTAGACAAGAGCTGAAGAGCCTGGCTAGGCCTTAGCATTCAAGGGATTAGACCCCGCCCTTCAGGAACAACCTTCCTGATTTGGAGAGCTTGCTGTGAACTCCATACCAGAGCCTCCACCTTGTGGCCAGAAAAGCAACCTCTGAGGTACCCTGAGGCTTTTCAAAGCCTTTCATGCTCTTGCAATCCAGCCATGATCTGTCTTGCTCCTCCCCCCACTTCAGTGGAAGTAGAGGGTGACCCCACTGGAGCTATAGTGTCCCTCCTAAAGCTTGGGGCATTTGTGTGCCCTATCTAGGGAACCAGAGTTTACTACAGGCACAAAATAACATCTCAGCAGCTGGCTTTTCCACACAAATATCAACCAATGAAAGTGGGAACAACTCTATAGCTAATCATTGCACCATCCAATGCAAGCAAATAGCAGCTGATTCATGTTCACAACTACCAGCCATGACATCAGAGATTAAGCTAGGGGACCTAATTCATTTCACACTGTTGGAAAAAGCTGAAGACAGCAGGTCAGAGGTAACCCAAGAGGTTCATCAAAACTGCTGGAACACCCCATAGGCAACTCAGGACCAGAATGGTCAGGGATTGATCTTTGGATACCTGGAGAAATGTCCACAAGCCAGGCCTAGAACCCCCAGGTCTTGGCTGTTAGGCAAGATGAGAAGTAATCAGCAAAAGAACTTGGGAAATGTGAAAAATCGGAACAAAAGAACACCCCCAAAAGAAAACAATAACTCCTTACCAATGAATACCAACCAAAACAAAAATGTTGAAATGACTGATAAAGAATTTGGTATATGGATTATAATGAAGCACAAAGAAATATAAGAGAAAATAGAAACCCAACACAAAGAAACCACAAAAACAAACTAGGAAATGAATGAAAAATTCTCCAAAGAAATTGAGTTATTTAAAAAAAATCAAACAGAATTTCTGAAAATAAAAATTTCATTCAAGGAAATACAAAACACAGTGGACAGCCTTAAGAATAAGCTAGATCAGACAGAAGAATCTCTTGAAGAGCTTAAAGACAACACTGTTAAATTAAACAAGTCAGTCAAAGACAAATAACAGAGAATTAAGAGGAATGAACAAAGTCTACAAGAAATATGGGATTATGTAAAGAGGCCTAATGTAAGAATCATAGCCATGCCGGAGGGTGAAGAAGAAAATAAACAAGAGTTGGAAAACATATTTGAGGGAATAATTAAGAAAAATTTCCTTGGTCTTGCTAGAAATTTACACATTCACATACAAGAAGCTCAACCGAATCATGGGAGATTCATCACAAAGAGGCAATCACATAGTCATCAGACTGGCCAAAGTTAACATGAAGTAGGAACTCCCATGAGCTGTAAGGTAAAAATTATCAGGTAACTTACAAAGGAAAACCTATTAGACTAACAGCAGACTTCTCATCTGAGATCTTACCAGCCAGAAAAGATTAGGGCCCCATTCTCAGTCTTCTCCAAAAACTGAAAAACTAAGTTTTTGGAGAAACTAAGTCTTCCCTGAAAAACTAAGTTTCTTACATGAGAAAGAAATAAAGACTTCCTCAGATAAACAAACACTGAAGGAATTTGTCGAGATAAGACCTGCCCTGCGGGAAGTACTCAAATATGCATCAATCTGCACAACAGACACCCCACCAGTATAAAATCACCTAAAAGCTAAAGCTCAGAGCCCATATACCATAATGCTCAAGTGACAAAATGAAACAATAAAGTTCTACTTAACAGTATGAACAGAAATCCACCCTACTTATCAAGTCTGTTAATAAATGTGAATGGCTTGAATTCTATACTCAAGAGACATAGACTGGCTGAATGGATAAAAAAAAAAAAATACAGGAGGAGAAAATGGCGGAGTAGGGGTGCCCTCCTGGCTCTCTGCTCCCAGAGCAAATAGTGAAGAAAGCGGATAGCCACACTCCAGCGATCCACACTTCCACGAGACCAGCTTTGCCAGACTGAAGACACTCAACAGGAAATAGAAGGATAAGATCATCTACAGCCTAAAGCAAAGGTGAACCGATCATTCTCCCGCAAAACTCGGGGTTTCGGAGGCACACATCAGGGAGGGAGCGAGGCGCGGCTTAAGCCGCTGCCGGCGGGCAGTGGCGCCAGCCTCTAACCAGCGCTGAGAAACACCCCTTCCCACACCGAGCTCCACTCCCACGTAGGCCGGGAGGTGCCTGAAGCTGGTGAGAAGTGGCAGCGCGGGATTAAGCTGATAACAGCCTACCACAGCCAGAAGAGTTACTCATCGAAGATACAAAATAGCTCAAGTAATTGGCATGCTTCATCGGCAGGGAAGTCATCGGTCCTGCCTGAACTCCCAAAGAAGTTGGGATGCCACAATTCAGAGACTTCTCTCCAGGCCCATTTACTACTGGACACAATGTACCGTAAGACACCTACGTGGGGACTGGTCCTAGTGTCCCTGAACATGAAGAAGGTGCAAGGAGACACAGGGTAAGGACGTGGTCCTGAACTCAGGTGACAAGAACTCTCCTGAATATTTCCAATGGGAGGGTTGTAGGGATGCTGAGAATGGGATCTGTGAGCTCGCCCACCCCCCACCCTCGCTGGAGAACTGCCATACGGATAGGTTGCAGCAACTCAGAGAGAAATGGCCTAGCCCCTGGTTCCTTGGCAACCAAATGCTTTGGATGTGCCAGCTAAACAGGAGCAGCGGGCCTTCCCACTCATTACAATAGGAAGTACAGCCTGAGCCAGAATTCACCAGCTGCCACTTCTGTCTGGTGAATGGTGCCCTCTGGCTGAGGCTTTGTGGATAGAAAGGTCAACTACTATCTTTGAGGTCTTGTGATGGAACAGGGGTGAATAATTGGGGAATCCCTACCTGGCACCATTTCATGGGGATGCACACTAATAGTCAGATACAGGGACTGGGGCACATATGACTGCTAGTGGCAGGCAGTGAAGGAATTACCTGGACTGATCTGATGGAGTATGTT